TTTTTCTCATTTTCTTCATGTTAAGTAGTCTGAGAAGGAGGAGGAAGAGGTGAGTTTGCCAACTAAGGAGTGGCAGAGGTGAAGAAGATAAGGAGGTAGAGGAGGTGGAAGAGGTGAGGAGGTAGAAGGGGAAGCCAGAGAGACAGGCACACTAAGTGTAACATTTATTGAAAAAAATCCACAAATAGATGGATGTGTGCATTCAAACCCATGTTGTTTAAGGATCAACTGGATACAAAAGCTATAGTAAATGCCAGGATATGGTCATTTCTTAAGGCAGGCAGTTGTGAGATTAATAAAGAGTGTATGCATGCTTTAAGCCCACACCTGAGAACATATGCAGATAAAATCAGATTACGATCCCCATAAAAATAAGAAAAAAAAAAACTAATAAATTATAAACAAATCAGAAATAAGCAGTCAAAGTAACTCCCGTGCCTCCTCCACCGTAGTGATGCCAGTTGGATATAGCTAGAATATAGGCATTTTAAAGAATCATGGTTTCTGGAAATCACTGGTTACTAACTGACGCCTTACATGAGTAGGAGCCATAGGACACTGTCGACGCAGCTTAGATGCAGCTTCTCTCCACAATGGGCTACTCACTGTCATTGTCATCAGCATGCTGGTGTCTTTGACTGAGGCTGTGACAACTCTAGGGTCATGCAGCTGTATCTTTCAAATATTTCGTCTCAGTACCTATCACAAAACTCTGAACATGGAAACTTAGTTGAAAAAAAAAGATATTGAGATTTTAGATTAAAGGGCACATATGTTCATTAAAGAATAAACTCATAACCAAAAAAAGAGAGGAATAATGAAACCATTTAGGTAACAACACAAACATAACCACTAATAAAGCGTGGTTATATCTTCTTACAATCTATTTTCTCTGCATTGTACTGTTTGTTTATACAAAACAGATGAATAACTTTGTCAGAAAGGAGATAACTATAAATTTGATAGGCACACTCCTCTCAAATAATGTAGGAAGCCTATTACCAAGCAAACTTACAGAGTTTGACTTATATAATAAAATAATATAACAAGAAACCTCCACCCAACCTTCTAGATAAAGAAGAGTCACAGGGCTACAGGCTGATGCTGCCAGCATATTCAACATTGATTTACAGGAGAAAGGGGATCTATTGCTTCACTGACATTGATTCTAGTCATAGCTTCAAAGAAAAATGAAGAGAACATAGTGTCCTCATAGTCAGTCACTCGTAGTCAGTCAGCCCTAATTCATATTGAATGGAGTCACTGAAGACATTTATTAGCTTTCTATACTCATTATTGAAGAAAAGTTTTAATAAAAGAGCAGGTTTATTAAAACTCTGATAAATAGCAAAGATTTACATAAAGTTCTAAGAGATACAAATGTGAAGAAAACACACATTTGAAATTCATAATTAAGAATATAAGAATTGGCCAGGCACGGTGGCTCATGCCTGCAACCCCAGCACTTTGGCAGGCCTAGGTGGGCAGATCACGAGGTCAGGAGATCGAGATCAGACTGGCTAACATGGTGAAATCCTGTCTCTACTAAATATACAAAAAATTTCGCCAAGCACGGTGGCATGTGCCTATAGTCCCAGCTACTGGGCAGGCTGAGGCAGGAAAATTGCTTGAATCCAGGAAGCGGAAGTTGCAGTGAGCTATTGTGCCACTGCATTCCAGCCTGGGCTGCAGAGCGAGACTCCCTCTCAAAAGAAATTTAAAAAGAATATAAGAATTAGTAACTGGTTGTAATTTTTACAATGTTTAACTTTAAAAAGAAGTGGAAAGAAAAGGCCACTTCACAGATAAAAAGGTTGCTAGCAAAATACTTATTCAGTCTTTATGCTGCCATCTCCCTTGACGTCTTCTGAGAGAAGACTTGCTCAAGTTTAATCATTAATGGTTTAGCTTTATTAATAATACTAACACTCTAGTACTGGTACTATGAACAAGGATAACTATAATTTATCATTTCTTCCTATGTTCTCTCCTTTGTGGCACTTCATTTTTCTACCAAACCATGTGAATTAAATACTGTTATAACATCCTTTTAAGGAAAAATTCTAGTGGTAAATCACAGGCGACGTGTCCTCTTGAAGAACTGGTTGCGCATGTGCCCAAATGGACAGAAGTAGTTTCTGGAAAGGGTAGCTAAACACCCTGAAAGATTTTTCCATGTTCTCTCTTCTTTGAATCATAAACCAAAAATAATTCAGAGATAAATTATTCAAACCACTTGCTTTTTCAAAACACTTTTTCAGTTAAATTGATGAGACATTTTATTAGAGCTCTTTACATTTCCAAGCTACTTTTGCTACATTTTGCTACAACCCTTAAGGTAGAGGAGTATTGTTATCATTACATCAATAAAAATGTACCTGGATGATGAAGAGCTATAGTGTCAGACTTCCTGAGTTTGTTCCCTGATTTATCACTTAATAGTTATGTATATTTAGACAAGTTGTGTACACCCCTCAATATTCTCATTGTGAAGATAATGGAAGTAACTACATGATAGGCTTGGTATGAATACTGAATCGAGCAATACTAGTAAGGCATTTAGACATCGTAAGAGCTCAATACATGTTAGCTCCCATTAAACCTATTTCACAGTTGAACAACCTGACGCATAGAATCCAAAATCACAGACAGAGCGAGTGTCAGACTAAGAATTCATAGCTCTGACATTTCCTCAACAATGCTGTTCTTCCCCACTTCTCATTCTAGCTGTCCCCAAACTTGACTTGTGGATTTCAAGGCAGGCCAAAGCCAAAGAATTATTTCAAGCAATCCTTAAGTTCATATAAAATAATAACCATAATAACAGGACCTAACTTTTGTGGCGCACTTACTATGCATTTATCACTGTGCTAAATCCCTTACACATATTCTCTTATTTAATCCTCAAAATCATATTTCAATGGAGGTTATACTTCTTCCTTTTACAGAAGAGGAAAGCAAGAACAAGGATAGTTCAGTGGCAAAGTAACTTCCAAAGGACACACAGCTACTCAGTTCTTCAGCCAACAATCAAATTCAGGCAATATGGCTTCAAAGCTTAAGTCTTTACTACTCACCTTCATCTATTAACTAAGTAAGTAAACTGACACGATTCTACACTAGAGTTCATTACGCTTAAAAGCTGGACATACTACACTGCCCTCCACCATCTCATCATCAAAGAATCTTAAATGCAGTATGTTTTTGTAAGCACACATTCCCACATGTTTACAACATTGACTAAAGTAAGGAACCTATGTTCTCTATTTGCTTCTGGAGTGTGTAATATAAACTATCACCATAAACCTAAGAGTAGTCTCATTAAATGAAATTATTGTCTTTCATGCCTTAAATTAGAATGTGCCCCTCATCTAGGCTGTTAAAGTGCCATTTTTCTTTGATTTTGTGTTTTTTTGGCATGTGTAGTTCTGAATTTTATTAAATATGTATAATTTATAATTCTCTATTTTGCTTTTAGGTTATAATTTCAAGAAACAAAACAAATGTACACATATCAACTATATTGCAGAATATATTAAGCTAGATGATATCCAAGATCTGGATACTAAGATTGTATGCTTCATGGGTTAAATTCACACAATATACATAATGTGTAAATATAACTCTATGGTTTAGAAGTTTAGAAGTTTTATCGATATCAAAGAATATTAACTTAATAAAGAATCTTCCGCTTCTTCCTTTCTTCTAACCACAAAAGTCACCTTTTCTTCCCACAAGCAAATGTTAGGTTCTTGTTTATCTTCCTAGATATATTTACATAAATACAATAAAATACATTTATACATTTATATACCTATATCTCCCTCTCCCTGTTTTTATACTTATGTGCAGCATATGGCAGAATACTTCACATGAAACCCTGTATCATGTTTTATGGTGAAGATTGTTCCTTACTGGTACTAAAGGGCTTCTTGTTTTATTATTATAGATCCATATTTTACTACTTTATTAATCAATAATAATTTTTAAATATGCATCTATTCATGTAATTAGATTGTTGCTAATATTATGTCATAACAAGTAATGCTACAATGAATAATATCACATATACACCAATTCACAGATGTGTGAGCATACCATTTCAGTGGAACAAATTCCTAAAAGTGAAATGCTGGGTTAAAGGATATGCGTATTTGCAATTTTGATAGATATCATCAAATTTCTTCCAAAGGAGTTGTTTCAATTTGTAATCAATACTGAATAATGAAAGCATATATATTAGGTTTTTCATTAATGCTAGAAATGGGCGATGTTCATATTTATGTTTCAAGCTTAAATAAAGTTACACGTTGCACATTCTGGTGGTGTTGGCAGGTGTCTTGGCACCAAAGTTAAGCAATATAACTCTCAAATTAAAAACATAATACACTATCTATTAATGCTTTAGTGATAAGAAAATAAATGTCTTTAACATTTTTCTAGATTCTAAACAATAAATATATTCCCACAGTTTAATATGATTTTTGGAAGATAAGAATTAATCATCACAGATTTTTTTTTCACAGTTGTTGAAAAATCTCATTGACTTCAGTGACTTTATTTCTGTAGAATGATTACTTTTCATAGGTAACTGACAAGGAATCTTGATCACAATTTTTACTTCAAAAGCTTTAAAAAAAAAACTTAAATGGCAGAGTCTCTGCCAAAAATTTTTTGTTAAATCACTTCTTCCACTTCTTGAGAACCTAGTACATGGTCTAACTTCTTTATAAAGTTTGTGTAATGTATTGTAATATATCCAACAACTCTATGAGGTTAATGGTATCCAACTTTAGAAACCAAAAAGCTGTGGCTCAGCAATATTAACTAGCTCAGATGACACAACTAACAAGTGCTGGTAAGGTAAAAAAAAAAAAAAAGGTAAAAAATTTCCCACAAGTACTGGTCAGAACTGAAGTAGAGAAAACACTGTTGAATGAATAAATTAAATACGCAATAGGTATACACTATCTGGTGGCTACCTAAGATGAATGTCCTACCTCGAAAGCCGATGATAAGGAAGGGACAAGAGGCTTCAGGTGACCAAATCTGTACAGTATTAGGAACAGCAAGCAACGAAGAGTTTCCATAATAGCTGCCTGGGGCCTGAAATAAAATGTCATTAATATGCATAAGCGTTAAATATGCTCTTCATGTTTTTACATGTTGTAATTAACATAGAGATGAACTTTTCATTCTCAAGAAATACCTAGTATTTTAATATATTTGAAAAACATCTCCCCTGAAGCTATTTGAAAACAGGGATTAAACTAAGAAAGGACACTCATCTCATCTTTTTAGGGACAATCTGTTCTTTATCAATGTACTGCTTAGTTTGATCATTGATGAGTTAGGGTAAAATTTATTTTCAGCTAATAAATAAAATATTAGGCAACTAAATTTCTAGGGTTTAAAGTAAGAGTGACTCCTTTCACTGAGTTCATATCTTCATACTTCATTTAAAAAATGAGTGGTTAGGAAAACTGATATAGTTATCTACTCTAAAAAAATGAAAAGTCAAATACCTAAGTTTTGTATTTATTTTTTAAACTACACTATAAAGTTATCTAATGTGCTGATAGTATACCACTCTGTGGAAAATTCTTGAATTGAGTAAATGTAAAAACAATGCAAGAATTTCACTTCTTGCCTTTGATCCAGAAGAAATCCAATAGAAGTCAAGGTCATGATAATGAACCAAACCCTCAGAAGGAGAGTCACTGGTGACAGCGCCTGTCAAACAAACACAGAGATCAATGGAGCCTTCAGGAGAGTTGTTAAAAGGTAGAAGAACAGTTAAAGCTGACAAAACAGCCCAAACTTTATTTTCTGTTACACCTCTTGGCAATTGACACTTTTCAGAAAGTTTGACTACACAGAGACCATTTTGGTTTTCTTAATGTTATTTGGTTTCTTTTCAGGCATTTGGAGAAGTAATTGGACAATTCCATAATGATATTTTGCTTCAAGTGTTCATGCTAAAATTCTCCTTTAAAGTTTTGACTTTGATAATTTTTTGAAGCATGTGAGTCTCCACATACAGATAAATTAATCACATTGAAATGAGTAAACACTGTAATGGCCATTTTTAGTATCACAAAATCTTTGTTTCAAATGAAAAGCTTTCTCTAATATAGAAAATATTTAAAGGAGAACGTGTTTATGAGTGAAAACACATATATAAAAGAGATTACGTGCATCCACTCATATTTGATGAAATCTACATGCTCATATATACATGTCGAAAGTTATCTTTTTAATGCTTAAATGTTAAGCACTAGTGTGCTCTTCATGTTAATATGGCAGAGATTTGTAAAGTAAATTAAAACTTACTGACATATTGGCCTTTAAACCAAGGGAAAGAATGAATATTATTTTTACAGGTACCTTAAGGATAAATGCTCATTCTAAGACAGCCTGTCCATTGAGATTATTAGATTTCTGACTTGCAAATATGCTTTGTGCTCCAGCAAAATTAGAGGAAAAGCAGATACCAGAATTCTAATTTAAGTACATATACAGCAATCTTTGTTTATAGTGTAAAAGTATTTATATTATGTACAAAAACTAATTATTTTGGAAAAATGAACCATTTACAGTTTGTTTTTGGACTCTAAGTCAAAAGATTTTCCTTTAAATCCTTGTCTCAATTTTAGTCTGGTCTTTTGTACTTTTCTTCAGAAGAAATGAATTAAAGAGTACAGTTGGATCAAGTCTGTTTTTAATCCTAATGTATTGGAAATAAATTATAAACTTTAAAAAAGTTATCTTTTGAATCATTATAACATAAAACAATTTTCTATGAGAATATAAATTAATCATGCATTCAATTTACATTTCAAAATTTAATAATGTTTATTGAACATCTATTTTACAGCTTCTATGGCATGTGTTTCTTGTACTTCAATTTTTTTGCATTCCCAATAACTTTGCAGAGTAGTTGTCATTATATCCGCTTCTTTAAAAAAAAAATCTGGGAAACAAAGGATTATCCTTATTACACAGACAGCAAATAATGCCTCTGAAACTCAAAATAGGCCTGCCTGATCCCAAAGCATGATGATAGTAGAATACATACGAGCAATAGATTTAAAGGAGCCAATGGCAGAAATTTAAATGGAGATTACATAGCCAAAGTTTAGAGCCAGGTGAACACGACTTCATATTAAAAGTGGATCAGTAAATTCAAAGGATTGGACACTGCTCGTGGATGAGTTCCTTACTCAATGGTGGAGCTTAAAAGTTCCAACTTTATGAAAACCCAGAGGTGTGATACAACAGATTGGCTAAAATAGTGCCCAAAACATTATGCAAGTACTCTTTCCTTTTTTCCACCCTGAAATGAATACAAGGAATTTCACCTTACTATTAGCTAATACCTCTACTTGCAACTGAATTGCATCTGTCCAAAGTTGTAAACAATAAACAAAAGCCACCAGTTCCAATGTTTGCTCACATGCAGTACCTTAGCTTCATACCCTCTAAAAACCAGCCCCATCTCTCACGGCCAACTTCCTGGAGTGGCAGCCAGAACTGTCAAGAGATTGTAAACCCTCTAAAGCAATACTTTTAATATAAAAATATTAGTGAGTGATCAAAAATCTGAATACAAAGTATTAGAATGTTTAGGAATAGGGGCACGATGATAGGTATTATATACAGGATAGGGGAGTCAGTGGAAGCCAGAATGTCTTAGACCAGAGCAGGAGAGTACTCTTAATATTTCAACATGTGGAGATCAGCAATGTCTGTCTAAGGCTGGCTGCCATACAGCGGGTTAAACGGACTCATCCATCTCTCTCCGTGCCTGATAACTGCGTCATCACCCAAGTTCGTTATCTGGCCTTGCCACACAGCTTCCTCGCACCCGCCTCAGCATACCAGATCCAAGCCCACATTCAGCACTAAATTATGAATTCAACCTCCAGCCCACTGTTGATAAACCCTGCAGGAAAATTTTTTAAAGAAGCCCCATCAGACCCTGCCCAGTAGCAGTCTGCCCTGTATGCCCCCGGGAGGCCCGCTTACCCAAGGTCCCACCCGCCTACCCATAACCACTAGCTCCAGGCATTTCCTGCTTCTTAGTAGCCAATAAGATTGCCTTCACTTTGTTTCTCCAACAGCCAATCAAGGCCCACTTACCCAAAGTCCCACCTGCCTACCAATGGCAACTAGTTTCAGGTACTTCCTGATTCCTGACAGCCAATAAAATTGCCTTTGTTTTGTTTCCCCAATAGCCAATCAATCTCTTTCCCTCCCCATAAAACCCCATGACCTAAACAGCTGGGCGTGACTTCTTTGGCCCCTTCCTGGACCACAGAACCTTGCACGGGAGCTGAATAAATTGGCTTCTCATTTTCTCATACTTGCCTCAGTTTCCTCATTTTACATCGGTAATAAACCTTACAGTCTGCTTAGGAAGAGTGAGCACAAAAATAACAGAAATATTTTCCTGGTGGTAGAAATAACTAGGGTTTGTTCAGTTACTTTGATTAAAATGGCTTCTCTCACTATATTGCTTCATTGTGGTTTTTGGCAGGGAAAAATTTACATAAATGGGAGAAATAATTTGTGTCAAAAACTATAGTATGATTGCAAATGCTCTTTAAGAACACAGAATTTGGAATTATTCAAACCTACCATCCATGTAACTACGAACAAATTATTTGACATTTTAAAGCCTCAGTTATATGTTTGGTATAGTTAAAATAAAATACGCATTTGGCAAGGACTGTAATCTTATAAAATACTTAGAAGAGTGTTTGGCACAGAGTAAAAAAGTCAATTGATGGTCATGGTTAGTATTACTGTTAATATGTTCAGGAACTTAGGCTAATCTTAATTAATTACAATAAGATAAACAACTGAGAAGCATAAATAGAAGGTCTATTAGCTCTTCCAGATGTCATACGAAACTCAGAGATGGAATAAGTATGTGTACTTATTTTGGTTAGGAAACATATGATCCCTGGACAATAGAAACAACTCTTTTTACCAAACTGCATCCTGACTACTGGAATCAGAGTGGAAACCAACTTAATGCAGGAATCCACCACCTAGTCCACATCTCTAGCTGGTTAACATGAACTGAAACTTGGCATGACTAAAACACTGCCTTTGAGCTCCTCCTCACCATACATTCCCTAGTTTTCTTTATCTTAGAAAATCACACCTCCTAGCCCTCAATTGCTGAAGACAAAAATCTGTGACTGGTCCTTAACTTTTTCTGTCACTGTCTACTTCTAACACATCGAAGACATTCTTAAAATTTATCCAGAATCAAAGCATGTGTTATAAATAGCACAACTAATATCCTGTTCCACCCCAACATGATCTCCCCAATAACTGTTGAAATACTATTCTAGCTGGTCTTCCTACTTCTAAAATTGCCTGTCCACCTTTCACAGCCCCCAACCTACAGTATGCAGAGTGAGGCTTTTAAAGGTAAGACAGATCATGTCACTCATGTTCTAAACCCTCCAGGGACTCACTCAGAATAAAGCTCAAAGTCATCAGTCTAGCTCAAATACACCATACCTCACTATCAATCCCTAGTGGTCTAGTGAACTTTCTCTCTTTAACTCATAATAAACCATGTCAGAAATTTTCCTATTCCTGGACATGACAAGCATTTTCCCCATTCAAGTCTGTTTCACCTACTATTCCTTCTGCTTGAAATGACTTCCCTCAGGGATCACTAGGGTGCTTTTCATTCAGGTCTCTACTGAAATACACATCCTTGTCTCTCCAACACAAAATAGTGCTTCTCCATAACTCTTTATAACCATTTTCTGTTTTATTGCTCTTCATATGATTTATCACTGCTATACACTTATATGTTTGTTGATGCATTCTGTTTGTCGTCCATCTCCTTTTGCTAGGATATAAACTCAATGAAACTTTGTATCTCTTTGTTCACCGCGGTATCCCAAGTGCCTACAACATAGTACCCAATATATGTTTATTGAATGAGTGACAAAATAAAGGAATATTTTATATTACATTTAAATATTAAAAGATTAAATGTTAATAATTCTTATTACATTGCTAATATGATATTTGAGAAAATGGAATCTTTATTTTTTTATAAATTCAAATTCTATTTTAGCTTCAGGGGATACATTTCCAGGTTTGTTATATTAGTATATTGCCTGATGCTGAGGTTTGAGATAGAAATGATCTCATCACCCAGATAATAAGCATAGTACCCAACAATTAGTTTTTCAACCCTTGCCTTCCTCCTTTCGTCCTCGCTCTAATAGTCTCCAGGGTCTATTGTTGTCATCTTTATGTTCAGGGCACCCAATGTTTAGCTTTCACTTATCAGTAAGAAATTTCAGTATTTGTTTGTCTGCTCCTCCACTAATTCACCTAGAGTTATGGCCTCCAGCTACATTCATGTTGCTGCAAAGAACATGAATTCTTTTTTATGGCTTCATAGTATTCCAGGTATATACATAACATGTTTTGTTTATCCATTCCACCATTGAGGGGCACCTAGGTTGACTCCATGTCTTTGTTATTTGAATAATGCTGCGATGAACATATGAGTGTATGTGTCTTTTGATAGAGTGATTTATTTTCTTTTGGATATATACCAAGTAATGGGATTGCTGTGTCTTAAGTTCTCTGAGAAATTGCCAAACTACTTTCCACAGAGGCTGAACTAATTTACTTTCTCACCAACGTTGTGTTAAGTGTTCCCTTTTCTTTTTAGCCTCACCAGTATCTGT